CCCCCCCCCCCCCCCCCCCCCCCCCACCTCACATAGAGCTATAACCCCCGGCGCCGCCCCCTCGGTACATTTGAAACCGTGGCGGTAAGACGCGGTATATCTAAACGATCTCACAAAAAAAAAGGGGACTGTGAACAGTCTAGGTTCGCCTAATCTCTCAATTGCAATGTTTTTGTTTTCCCACTTTGCAAGACTAAAGAACGGTGAAATAATAACAGCATGTCATACCTAATGTACATATTATCAAGGGAATTATGGAATCAAGGCCCATTACTTTTTTGTTAATTTTGTCAATTTTTTTTTTTTTATATAGGAAAGGACGTGAATGGAATTTTCTGCATCCCCCAATGGAAGCACAGAGAACAGCTTGCCCAGATGCATGAAAAGGGAGGGAATCAGGTGACCAAATCAGGTCGAGGTCAAAGAAGTGAACACTCCACAGAATGCGGGCTAAAACAGGAACATTGTCTGCCAGTTAATCAACATCTGGACAACTTTGCTAATTAAGTTAAAAGAATTATTTATTCTTTTATCATTTGTTCCAGCTGCGTTTTAGCTATTTTACATTCCTAAGAGCCGTGAGAATCGAAAGAGAACTGAGGGAAGGTAGTTTTTTCTTTTTTCTAAAGCACAAACAATACACTTGCTAAAAGAGTTTTCAAATGAACAATGCTGCTGTTAATACTGTGTCTTCAAACTCCAGCAGAAAGTTATAATTAGATCTTGGAATTCTTACATTCTTGTTTGTGCATTGTTATAAGAGTTTCTTTTTTACCTCACTTGCAAACACGTGAAAATAATTTTCACAGTTGGTTTCGATTTCGACTACTGTGCCTTCTGACTGGCTTAGAAAACTCGCGTCACGTTCTCGACCAGTCAGAAGGGAAATGAAAGTCACTCATACCGTAAAATTTCGAAAATAAGCCCCTCCACATATAAGCCCCTCCAAATATAAGACCCCCAAACCGGTAACGCAAACAACTCTCCGTTAAATCGCTCCTCCAATTATAAGCCCCCCCCGGGGGCTTGTACTTGGAAAATTGCCCTCAAATACAAAGTAAAACAGAGCAACAACGGTAAATTTACTTCCAACTATAAGGCTAGCCCAATCGATGTTGAAACTCAAATTTCCCTCCGTAGATAAGCCCCTCGGAATATAAGCCCCTTAAAAAAGAAGCCCCTCAAAAAAGGCCTTTGAAAAATATAAGCCCCGGGGCTTATTTTTGGAATTTTACGCTGGATACTGGATACTTGGATACTGATTGGTCCTTCTTACATGCACGAGTTCTGATTGGCCAGAGTTACGGGAGAGTAATGGTAAGGAAAAACGAAGGTGGTGGAACGACTTAACGTGCCCGTTCTCAAGACTGTACAGTACTTGATACACATCTTTGCTTTAAAACACTCTAAGAACAATTTTATCCTTTGAATCGCAAAAGCGTGTATATGTTCGTTGTGTACGTAGTGCAACTATTTTCATGATGAACCAACGGTGACACTTTCACGGTGGATGGTTTATTTTTTATGCAGATTTTCAATAAGCGAAGGTTTTCAGTAATATATGGAATAAGGTTACTCTACCGTACATTTATTTGTGCTTTAAGTTCTCGACGTTTGTCTTTTCTGATTTTTAGCACTTTTATAATGTATCTCTGTGAGAACCAGCCTATCAAATCAGATGTTAATGACGTAATGAACCAATCAAAACTCAAGGAAGTAAGATGTAATCGATGATATTTAAAGCGCGGGAAAATGCGCGTCCGTCAAGCCGCTTCTCTTATTACGTCATGTCAGGTTTGCTCTTTATTGGTGTAA